TGCAAATAGGGCACTTATCTGTCTGATGGCCCTCCCCAAAGCACTTGAGATAGGCGGTGTGCGGATCACTTGTGGGCATAGGTTTCATGCACCTCTTGCACACCTTAAACCCCTGCGACCGAGGCATGCCCCGGCGCCAGGGAGAGCAGAATGGGGGGGGAAGCCCCCCGAAGTAAGCTAAACTGATCTACAACTATTAACAACTAACTGACTATTTTCACAAAAACAAGGGAACCACTAGGTAGGCACTTGCAGATGCAAGAGACTGAGCCGTTCCAACGACCGTCATGGGCGGTAAGAAGGAACCGAGCGGGCAGCGGGTCGGCAGGGTCATATATACACCGCCATACAGGGGCCACTCTAGGGGTCTCCACAGCCGACCCAACGGGTACCGCTAGGGGAAAAGCTTTCCGGTGATCATGCACGCGGCGCGCGTGCACACACTTATTGGAATGCACATGAGCAATCACTCTAAGAAGAACAGTGTGCTACAGTAATGCAACATCCTGCATTACTTGTATGAAGTTCATTTTATGTCTTCATATATGTAATACATAGCCAAGCTAGGCTTGCTGTGGGAATCATGATATTGAATTTCCTGACTTCTTTGTTTGGAGTCTCAGCCACAGCACTAACAGACTTTAGGATCGGTTTCTTTAGTGGGGTTAGGCAGAGGGGAAAAAACAATGAGCCCTTCAGAGACTGATCAGGGTACACTGAAGGTAATGAACCGTTAAGGCAACAGAGAGTCCTGTCTGTTGCTTTTTACAGATCCAGACTAACATGGCTACCCCTCTGATACTTGGAACCGTTAAGGATTATTCAAGGTTTGTGCAGATAGCTGAGCATCTTAACCAAACATGCACACCTCCAAACCTCTGCAGGAGCACCTAGCAGCGGACCATGTGCTGTGCATGTTAATATGTAGTTTTCAAACAGCAATCACCTCAATTTGTTTAAAAGAAGATGTGATTTTAGAAACAATAGTGCTGGGGATTGAATCAGACCTCCTGGGCTCTATTCCCAGCTTTCCCCCTGACCTGCTGTGTAGCCTTTATCTCACTGTGCCCCAGTTTCTCCCACTAGAAAACAGGTAAATAGTTCACCTATACAGGTGTTTTGAGAGGCTTATTAATATCTGTGACCTAGTTTGAGTGATCTAGAAATGCCAGTTACTAGCCCTTGATAAATCCATGCCACATCTGAAGTTTAAGAAAAATTAAATGTGGATTAAAAAGCAAAAAGTGGTGATTTTTTTAACATTCATTAGAAAACCATCTGAATAGAATTTTACCAACTCTTCCTCTCTCCACCCACTAAGAAAATCCTATGAACTGAGAGCGTGCATAAGAAATTTCAGCACATTGAGCATTTAAGACAGTTAAGTGTCTGAAGATTGGGGATTATACTAGAAGTGCCTTTTCAACCTTAAGTATTGCAATAGAAGTGCAACACTACAGAAGAGCTTCAGGAGGACAGATAGTAAAATAATCTAAGCTTGCACATTTGTTTCTCTTTTTAACGACTTCAAACAGAGTTTCAAAACAAAATGCATTTTTAACAAGTACTTTGCTTTGGTTTCTCAGCATTTATAAATATTTCACATCAAAATAGGTATTATTTTAAAACAAGAAGCCAAACGTGACAAAATAAAAAGTTACAAGAAGCCATTTTTATTGTAAGACTGACTTTTGTGCATGTCTCCTGCTTGTCAAATTTCTCAACGCTCCTGGTAAGGTAAATGCATAATAAATTTAGTATTGTGTGTACTGTGGACTTAATCTTTCCATAAGAAGCTGTGAAGCACAGCATGCAGCACTGGCAGTAGAAGGCAGAAACATTTTTACCAATCTGTCTTAATTTTACATGGTACACTCTCCCTCCTGTGACAACATTCATCTTTCAGTACTGAGTTCCTTTCACTTTAATTCCAACTTCTTTCTTTCACTGGAGTCCACTAAACTATCCAATTGCAGCACAAGAGTTTTACAGCTAGTTAGAAGTTGGTACTTGCATTATTTTTCCTAGTGGAAATATATTTTAAAATTAACTCCACAAGGATTTAGAATTACAGTTTCTTTAACAAATAAAAGAAAAGGGCCAGTGTAGATTTTGCTCAAGGCTCTCAGACCTTTGGAAAATATCATCTTTTAATTTCATCTATTTTCTGTATGGGCAAGAAAGTATTTTTAAATATTTAAACAAAAATTCTATAGGGGCTTAGGCAAATGCAGTGTATAGGTTTTAAAAAGCACTTAGACACACGAGGCTAACAAGAGGCAGACTCAAGAGACGCAGGCTTTGGGTATCCTAATTCTTTATGCAAAAATGAAAGAAGAAGTCTTTTAAAAGCACTCGACAAAGTATTAGAATAAGATCAATGTGCAAAATACAGATCTAGATTTTGAACACCTCAAATTCAGAGGCTGGTTCAGGCTCATCTTTATATGATAAGCAAGGCATTATACACTGGAATTTAAAGCACTCTTACTTATTGAATACCAGTATTTGTATCTCAAACATTCACCAACATAACACGTAAGCCACCTAAAATGGACTAAAAAAGTATAAGTATGATATTTCTGTAGTTTATTTACTATAAATTGATATTTAAAAATGCATGAACTCTATAAAAAAGTTCTCTAGGTTCTCCCTCATCTTCTCTGACATAAAATCATGTTGTATGTCAACCAGAAGGACTGGATAACAAAATAAGCTTTGACAGTGGGGTGGGAGGGAAGAAACATGGGGGTCTTGACTATATGGTTTAAATTATAAAATCCACAGGGAAATCTAAATGGTGTGCTTTTCTGTTTACCTTCAGGTGACAATGTCCAAATGCCTTAACACATTGCTGAACGTCTGTTACATAAACTCCTGTCACTAAGAATAAAAATAATGGATGGATGGATAATGGTCAGGCTGAACCTTCTGCCTGGTGCCAGTGGCATCTTGCATACAAATTTAAAAATAGCTTGCAAGTAATATGCAGTCAATCTAAAAATATATAATCTGGCCTGGAAAACATCAACACAGTCAACCTTGCACGTACAGCCGCTTCACCCCCAAACAGAGATGTTGGATGGCTCAAAGGACCCAAGTTCTTTGGGTTAAGTCAGCAAATAAACTATTGTTCAAACTCTTTTTCAGACTCTGTGCCTACAAACCAATGCTGAATATGGTCTTTTCAAAAAAGTTTGCATTCAAACGAAATTAAAAGGAAAAGAAATTGTGCTGTGTGTGATACATTCTAAAATTTCACAGTTCTCCACTTTATAATGAACAGGATCATTCAAATGCCATCTGTACCATGATGTGATGCACATTGTCAAACATCCTAATAAAATCCTGCACTTTTCCCTCTTACCACATAGGAAAGCATCAGTAATTTTCTTCTTGAACTTTAATAAAAAACGGATCCCAAAATAATACATACTGTAGTTAGATCATGCATTTCAAATCAATAAAAGAAAGGGATTTCTTCCTCTTCTGTTCACTGTATCATTCTTTTAGTCCAGTAAGACTAGCACACTATATTTTCATGAATTGGAAACTAAGAGCCTATCAACCAGCTGAAAATAAACATGATGTGCTGGCTGTGCTTCCTGGAAGGCCTAGCTAAAGGGAGGAAAGATCAGTCCATCATGAGAGGACAAAGAATAAAATAAATCTGTAGCAGGGAGCTTCCTGGGGAGGGGATTCTTAGCTTCATATTACAAAGCTCTATCTGGTTCTGGACCTTTTCCCAACCTCATCAAATGAGGCTGCAAGCCTGCTAGTTTAACCCCCAGGCTGGCAAGGAAACAAAGGAAGATTGGCTCCCCAAACGTACATGAGTTGAAGGAACAGAGAAATCTTCTGCCTTCCACCTATATAAACCCTGTTGAGGGGCTCCTCAAATCACATTAGGCATTAGGGATGCCCAAGTAGGTGTGCCAATGAGGGGGAAGAGGTCACATCCCTCTATTCAATCTGAGAAGCTCACTGTACAATGGGGCAGAGGCATAGTCTCACATATCTTCCCAAGCTTCCTTTTGGAGGCATCTCCTTCAAGTTTCCTTCTTTACCTGATCAACTCCAACCAAGGCCTTGCACTGGGAACTACACGCATCATCCATTCCTCCCCCGGCAACTCCAAGTAATCATCTCCCCTGTAAGAGGGACAGACTTGAGAGGCAGACTTGTAAACTAGCATTAGATGGCAGTTTCCTAAGGACAAAAACTTTTGAAGTAGGATGCATCGTCTGTATAGCTTAGAAGCTTCATAGGGTCTGACCACCTAATGTATTTATAGAGCACCAGCCCTAATATTCAAGCGCTGATCTGTCCAGACCAGCTGCCTCTGAAGCGAATCTGCCTGTTGAAGAAGCATCTTGATCTATTAAAGAGACACCATTTAAAGCAATCACTTGCAAATATCCCAGTGCTACAAGTGACAGTTCTTACCGATTTTTAAAAAGAAAAAGGTTCCCTTGTACGTTTTCTGACTTCACTTTTAAATATAATTCTGCACAACCCTTTTGGATTACTTTGAAGTGAAATGCTGAAACAGCCCATATTCTAAAGTGCCTTTAAAAGATATTTAATCAGAAAAATCCCAGCAGAAAACCATCCAATTAGGTGGATGCATGTACAGCCTACTGGCCATTTTATTGCTTCTTTTCCAATGGTGTGAATGGATTATACAGAGATTTTTGCCCTCCAACTGAAGTGATTTACATTTAGCATCCCTTCTTGAATAAAAGTCTCAACTCCAATACACCGCTCTCTGTATGTGGGGAGAGTTCCTCATTGCACTGAGTGGGAGATCACCAGAAGTTTGAGAACACAGAATACTGGTGGCTTGATCTACGTTGTGATACAGAGAAACAAGTTTCCCCTCAGTAGATTTTTGGCACCATGGAGGTACAAACATGATTTGTAGCTGTCTGTCCATTTTATCATCCCAAAAGGATCAAAAGTCTTGCAGGGGGGAAAAATCTGTTCAGTGAACGGTTTGTAAAGTTTTTCAGGGGAATGTTTTTCCCTTCAGCTCGTTGGTTCCTTTTTAACTGCAAGAGTTATTGGAATCTTTTCCTCCTTTTGAACAGAAGGAAAGTCCACTTTTGGCTTTGCAAGATCATGCTCAGTAGCATTCTGGCCTTCTTTATCCTTAGATGTTTCCAGAAGATGCTGCATGCTAAGTTTGAAAATGAGGCGAGGGTCTGGTCCAGGAAGAGAGGGGCAATTGCAGCTCTCTCTTATTTTAAGTGCCTATGAAAACAAGCAGAAAAATCAAATCAACTTATTAAAACAACGTTGTAGGTAAAAACAATTTAGGGGCATTCATTTTAGTGCATGACAGTCAGTCCCTTAGCTTTCCAGTATGAATTGTATTTGTTAGTTATATGTTGGTGACTTCAATATTAGGTCTATATACATATTATCTGACAATTTATTGAGGGAAACCAAGACCTCCTGGGGTCAGAAGAGCCATTAATATGATAAAAGATACTGTTTTTAAGGAGAATGTTTTCTCAGCCAGCTCCATGAAGAGTGGCTACTTTAAGAGGTATGGTACCATGGTGTTAACTGTACACAGTATTGGAAATCCACAAAACTCTCGTAATTTAATGTAACAATGTAAAGTCATAATATATTCTAATATTTAGTACTGATCATTATCATGGTCACTTTCATATCTGCTGTTAAATGCTTCTTAGCCTTACTGAAAGAAAGTAGAACACACACTTTATGGGCAAATGACCATCCAGATGCATTTTTAATCCTTGCATCAGAAAGTTCATTCCCTGTATGTTTTATTCCATTCGTCCTGATTCTCTTCCTAAACTCATGTTTCAGAAGAGTTCTTGTCAGAGTTTCCTTGAGTTACTTACAGCTAAATAAAAACAAGAAGAAGTCTGGTGGCACCTTAAAGACTAACAGATTTATTTGGGCATAAGCTTTCGTGGGTAAAAAACCTCACTTCTTCAGATGCATGGACCCACGAAAACTTATGCCCAAATATCTGTTAGTCTTTAAGGTGCCACCGGACTCCTTGTTGTTTTTGTGGATACAGACTAACACGGCTACCCCCTGATAAATTACAACTAAATGTTGCCCTAGCCATTGGGAGTGGTGTTATGGGGAAACTACAGAAAACAGTGGCTTAGACCCAGAGTGAGAGAAGAGGGTGACCACATAGTGGAGTTCACACTGCAGATCCTTTAAAAAAAGGGAATAATTCACCCTTGGCTTAGGTATGCAACAGACTAGAATAGCCACATTCACTTTTGCAATGTGAAGTGTATGTATGTGGACACAACAGCTTGCCCTCCTCCCTCACCTACCTAGTTCAGTAGGTATGCTGCCCTGCTGCTAACATAGTGAGCAAGGGTTGACTTAGATTCCTTATATACCTACAGGGAGGGAAGGATTTGCCTCAATTTGAAGTTCATTCAGATCCTTCCAATAGTACAGATCACTTCTGCAGTTTTTAAAAGGAAAGAAAAGTCCAGCCTAATAGCTTCTTTTACAACGAGGTTCTGAAACCATGTTTTTCTAACGAAAATCCTTTTAGTGTAATAAACTGATATCTCTGGAACTGACTTGGAAACAAATGGAATTTAATAGCTCCAACTGGCCTTTAGAAAAAGTCAAGATCCAGAGATACGACAAGTGTTTCTCATCTGTGCTATGTGATAGTTTCTGGTTGAAATGTAGCATTTGAGTCATCACAAACGCAACTTTGGGCTTGGGACTGCATAGATTCCTCTCAGTTATAACTTCTTTTTATTAAATAAAAATATAAGTTCAACATTTGTTGTTTTGCAAGCTAATCATCCAAATATTCCCCAAATTTTATCATACATATCAACCCAACTCTGCTTCAGTGACCAATCAATTTCAAAACGGATATTTATAATGACAGACTAAGAGTTTTCTCTTGTTCTCTTGCAGAACATAAGCTGCTGCAAGACTGCATTAATGTCAAGCAGCATTATTCAAGGCAAGTAGAAATATAAAGATTTAAGTTGTATCCTTAAAAGGGCAACATAATCCTCCTTTAAATTAATTTAGCAGTTTTAAATCTCTGGTTTTCTTGACTATGTAATGCCTGTCTTCCTTCCTTGGGTTCACTTATCTAAACGATTGGAGTTCACAACATCAATAGTTCCATGCAATAGCTCTGGGGTAATATTCTTACCCTGCAGAGGCCTCTGCTTTCTTATTACACAAAGCAGCTGGAGGTGCCTGATTAAAACACACCAATTCATAGTCCATACAAAACGGAAGTCTACTGTTCTGACAGTTGAAAGGCTATGTTTAGCATAGGTCTTCCTGTTAAAGACAGAGCTGCATCCACATTCTAGTCCGGGAGTGATTTTTGCAATGATTTTGCACGTGAATATGTGTCCTTGGCCCAGAGGATTCAGTTCTATTTAGTGGGTGCTCTTTCCTAAGCTCAGGTGGCTCCTGCTATTTTTTTTTAAGTGCAAATAATGTACTCAATGCAGCAGAACCATTAAGATGCCATTTCCTGACTTGTTCCAGAAGCCTACAACCTACTCCTTCTGGAAGATAAAGCATCCCAATGCCTACCTTCAATATCACTATCATCACTTCAATTCCACTAATTTGGGGTTGCTCAAGAAATTCCACTTCCACCATCCAATCCAGCTCATTTAGTTGAAAGGCTAGTGCACAGACATTCCTAATTAAATGCATACAACTTACCAAGTTAATATTTTAGATAAGTGAACCCAAGGAAGGAAGACAGGCATTACATAGTCAAGAAAACCAGAGATTTAAAATTGCTAAATTAATTTAAAAGAGGATTACGTTGTCCTTTTCAAGATACGACTTAAATCTTTATATTTCTACTTGCCTTGAATAACCAGACCTGTTATACTAACGAATCCAGTCAGAACCAAGGCAAGTTAAATCTTTAGTGGAATTCTTGGATTAGGTTCGAGTTTGCAGGCACATTACTACTGTCTTTTTCAGACTCCCATTAAGACAAAAGCACTGCTCTGCACTGCAGAAGAGAAGCTGTTAATGGTGAAGATTACCCTGTGTGTGTATTGACACAGAGAGCGGTCACCAAGTAATATTATTTCTATCACAAGATTTCAGACTTTGGCTTGTAAATGGCAAAGGCGGAGCAGATGTCTACTACAATATAGCCATAGCCACCTACAAACAGCAATGGGGTGGAGGCCTGCCTGTGCCGTTGCTTAGTACTTCACCCACTCCTCTCACTCACATACACCAAAACTTATTGTGGCACAGACGGCTGTATGCAGGTCCTGGGAAAGAGGATGGATTTTATCCCTCAGTAATATATATATATACACATACTTCGCCACTGTCACATTCCTGGGCTTACTGCACCCAACACCCCCATGCCTGGCCTCTCTGAATGCACATACGCCCCCCTCAGGTCTCTGGCCATCACCTCGCTTGGGATGGAATCACACCATTCTCCCACTTTAGGATCTGCCCTTGGATTGCAGTCCCCCCCATCAACCGTGATTGCCTCAGAAGGCCTGACTAACGTACTGACAATGATCGTGGTACACAGTGATCTGACAGTCCTTTTAATGCAAAGTATTATTTATTAGAACAAATGCATTTCAGAGAAAACCAGTTCTTAAAACAATCAAACAGACTGTACACCTATCTAGCTGACTAGGTATGTAACCATCTTCCACATGGGAATCCTGGTAGGCATAATTCTCTTACAGATCACCAAGACCTCTGGGGTCAGTTCATTCCCTCGGCTCAAACCATTCTCTCCCTCAGCCTCAGGGAGAGAGTTCTTTAAGAGCTGTTTAGTCCTTTTGATCACCCCCTACCTGTTCCTTTTCCTCAAGACCAGATCACATTTTAACTGATTACAGCCCTTTGATCTGTTAGGTTATATAAACATAACCTCTGTAAGCCAGCCTCCCAGCCTGGGTCAACAGTTTCAGGCTAGCCAGGCTGTCCCTAGTGCTCAAATAGCTGTGCAGAGAGCACTTGGAAGTTGCAGCTTGGGCTGAAGCTTGGCCTCTGAAGGGGAAACGTGGCTTCAGCCCAAGCTGCAACTTCCAAGTGCTGCCAGCTATTATTTTTAGAGCACTAGCATGAGCCCCGCTAGCCAGAGTCTGTTGACCGAGCTGGGACACTCACTTCTGTGGACTGTGAAGACATACCCCCTATTTCACAGCCATGGCAAAACAAGGCATATAACTTGTTGGAGGCAGAATGTAAGATCCACAAAACCGGATTGTTTTTCAAATGTGCGTGGAGAGCGGGGAGTGTCCTTTTCTGGGGTCACTCTCTTCTTGGCAGCAGTCCTCCTGGAATAAAAGCATTCTAAGCATATACCCCAGTGTAATACAGCCTCTCTCAATAACTATGCTACATATCTGTATACTTAGGTTATTACATAGCAGCTCCATGACTGTCACAACCACCTTTATAAGGAAAACTGCAGGAAAAGATGTGTCCAAGTTGCTTTAGCATTTTCATCATAGATTGAAAGGTTTTCACCAGCAATTGGATACGATGACATTCCAGGGGAGGCAGAAAGAAAAGAACCTTTTTTCTAATATTTCTCCTAAAATAGCACTCTTGTAACAGCCTATTTGTTCTGGGCCTGAAGTAGATACCCACGTGTGTCAGGCCTAAGTATTCTCTCTCTCTCTCTCTCTCTAGTTTATAAAATGTTACCGACAAGCTTGTTAACTTCATAAAATTTAGAGGCCAATTCAATTATACTAGCTAGTAAAATATCTGCCTTTACTTATGTCACAGACAAAATGAAATTCTGGAAAATGAATAGTGCTTGTATAGTATATACACAGGGCTTGTACATATTTTCTTGTACCTCAGGTTTACCTTTATGTTCAAATAATCTGTTTGTTATCGTTGAGAACCCCAAATAATTAAAAATTCATAAGCATGAGTCACTTATGCATTCCAATTCTGATTTTACTAACCTCACAAGATTGAGAAAGAGGATTGGGGGGGGAAGGGGGAGAAAGAGAGCACTTGCACAGAATTATATATCCCTCAAAGCGACTGTTCTATATCCAAGGACTGTGGGCAGTATGGCAGCTCAAAAGGAGGACAAATATAATGGATATTAGACAAATTGGTCACCAAAACATAGAACACTGAATTTTGTGTTGCAGAATCAAGCTTCCAATTGTATTAGTTGGAAATGTAAAGTTAATCATAAATAAAATACCTGCTATAGTTTGGAATATTTGTATTTGGAGGTCTACATTTCAGATGCAATTTTCATGTTGGGTTACGGTACTAGTTCTCTATTTCTCTCAACTATCCTCATAATAATATAAGCAGCTATAATACCCAGATCCCATCTCGCTCAAGGGCAAGTTATAATGTACATATTCAAAATGCTGTACTGTGTCATCATGTGAAAGTATTTTCAAATGGTTAGACTATTAAATTTCAAAAGGCTGATGCATGTATCTGTTCTCCAATTTTCCATATAAACATTCTAGTTACTATAATAATTTATGGTAATCATTAGGCTATGTACTGTAAGTATCCTGAGCATAACAGATAATTTCATGGTAAAGTTTGTTTTATATACTTAGAATTATTTACAGATTAAAAAAAAACATATTTAATGGCTCCTTTTGTCAGTCTGTATGCAGCTGGTTTGCACTAATAGTTGTCTTACTATCTTAGAAAGTAACAAAATCATTCAAGTTAATAGCAAACAATGTAGGTTTTTTTGGCCTTAAATGATACAGTAAGCAATTCTAGACTAAGAATGATCAATTCCAGATTTCTAGTACTATAGACATTTCATTCCCTGAGATAGCTTTGGGTCACATCATTGTAAAGTGCAATGTCATCATCTGAAGAAAAACCTTTCCTATGGTGCGATGAGAAAGCAGAGCAATTTATTGTGGTCTTGCTCAGAAAGTACGCTAAGAAACACAGTAACATTATTGAAGTGTCCTTTAAAATTAACTGTTTTCTTTCACTGCCATTTGGTTGTCTGGAAAAAAAAAATTCTAATCTGAATGGTTGAGTAGTAGGGAACAATTGGCAGGGTCACTTCAGTTGAAGGACTATCAAAAATGGATACAGATATAGAGTTCACCATCCCCATTTTGAATTTTGCCTACTGCCAGTATAACTGATGGTTATATTTTCTCTTTAGCCTCATGTTACCATAACAAATAAACCTTCCAAGAGATTTACTCACACACTTGTTTTCCCCCATTGCTTGGTGTATGAACAATACTGAGCATATCATATGGATACCTGTAGTGCGGCAATGCTGCAAGAAGAAGCTGTTACTGGTAAATAAAACCTGGCTTTAATAGACTAGCACTGAAAGCAACATTCCCATTTTTCTTCTAGCTCCTCACACGGTTCTCTAGATTGGGGAGAGAAGGGCACCACGTCAAACAGAACCAATTATTACCGCTGCCGATAATTCTTTCTAGCTGTTGCGCAACAGTTCCACTTATCCACTGAACTCTTCTTGAGGGCACAAAGCCCGTACTCCTGCTTCCCCACCCCACTCCAAGCGTGTTTGAGGTGGAATGCAAATTCTGCTCCTCTTCCTCAAATATCATTGGGGGAGATGACTTCAAGACCTCCCCCACCCAACCTGCCTGATGGCTGCACTTTTCAGGGGCTGGGGAAAGAAGGAAGGGTTACTCCACCTGGTAAACAACAAGAGATCAAGCAGTGATAACAAAATAAATGCCAACGCTCTCCAAGGGCATAAGAAAACTTTTTTTGCTCTTAGATTTTATGTCCTGCACCAGACCAAACAATAATTCACTACTGCCCTGCAAGCCAGCTGGTACTTGGATAAAAAAAATCATGGTCTCTATTCCTTTGGTACTGATCTATCTATCTATAACGAGGGCTCCAAGAACACTGTACACATCTTCATTTTCCACTTCAGCCACGGTGAGAGGATTTTATAAAACATTCCTATTAAAATCTGCTCACAATTTAAATAAAGACCACAGAGTTATTTTGATGAAGCAGGGCATTTCTTGGGTAGGTTATTTTGAAAAGAAGCTGTCTAGCTATTCTTCAATCTCCCACCCGCAACCACTATTTTGGCTTATGCCATCATTTAGCACACTAATTGCACTTTCTCCAATTGAATGAAAGTCTTCTCTTTCTGAAAGTTCTATGGAAACAGAGTATTTTTATGATCCCCATGCTAACAAATCTCCAACAGTCAGAGCTTGGCAGCAGGAAAAGATTGCAAGTGATAGTTGGCTAGTTGTACAAAATATGCAGCAACCACTTGTTTGGGGATGAAGTAGTAAGTTTCAAAAAGCAGCTCATTTTGTTGGATAAAGAGAAGTTGTGACTGGAATAGATTTGCTGCTGCGAAGGGTAACAGCAGACAGAAAGTCTTTACTTATCTTTAAAAAATGGCCTATGTAATTATCTATATTACATTTCTGGAGAAAGGGGACCCTGTCTGATAATGGAACGCAAGCCTAGATTACTCAGAACAGAACAGTTTTCAAATACAATGCTAACACCTGGGTAATGGGGGCTTTCTGGTTCAGCCACCAGTGGCTGGGTAATTGAGCAAATTAAGAGGATCCGCAAGCAGTTACCTACTTGGCATTCCTATTAGAGGACATTTGAAAGAAAGAACAAAAAGCAGACTCCAGATGGATGGGCAATTGTGAGAATTAGCTCCATTTCCTTAGAGTGGGGTAGAACTGGCTCTCTAATGTGATGGAACAGCTAAAGAGAACTGAAAACAAAAGCAAGCTGCAAAAATCTACAGAGGCTCATGATTACTATGAATATTAAGAAACCTTTTACTGGGGATCTGACATCACTCTTAGGCAAAGCTGTTCATGCCCACTTCAGTGAGAGAAAATGGGAAAGCATGGCTTACTGTGTGTGATAACCTAGGTCCTAGGACTTGTAGCTAAAGGAAGTGGAAACAAGAGAACTCAGACGTTAGCACTTTTGTCGGTAAAACTTTTATCAGTCGGGGTGACAAAGTTTCACCAACAAAAGCGCCAGTGTGAACAGCACTATGTTGGCAGGAGACACTCTCCTGCCGACATCGCTACTGCGCTCGTTAGGGGTGGTTTAATTATGCCAGCAGGAGAACTCTCTCCCGCTGGAATAGAGGGGCTACACAGGAGACCTTACAGCAGTGCAGCAATACATCTGTGCCACTGTAAGGTCTGTAGTGCAGACAAAGCCTTAATGTCCCAACCTGACCTCTGGTTTCCAGCACAGGTACAAGATGTCACAGAAGACCTAAGTTACTTTATCAAGCCTGTATTTATTAAAGGGAAAGCCATTAACAAAACAAAAATCTTAAATCTTAATCACAAAGTACATTTCATCTAAAGCTAGCTGAGAAGCCTACAGAGTAATTACACTTTACCTATGCTGCTTTAATTTTTCTTCACCTAATGGAAGTCCTGAGTAGGTTAGTATTTTATAATGGAATGTTTCTGCAAGGAAAAAGGGCAAGATAAATGCGATGCTATAAAATTAGCTCATAAATCAAGACTAAAGTATGGTTCTAACAACCTTTTGCAAAGGGGGAAAAAACAAAAACAAAACAAACCCCACAGTTCTCTCAACATTCTCTGCTCACCTCTGGTATAAGCCGGTCCAAGTGTTCAGCTCTGTTTTCATGAGAAGGGTGTGTGGAGAGCCATTCTGGTAATTTACGCTGCCCTTGAATGGTCTCTACTAATTCCATCTGCTGCCAAAACACAGTGCTTGCTCTTACATCCACACAAGCCTAAAAGTAAAAAGGAAATATCACCGTACTATCATTCTCAGAAACACATTTTAAATTAGAATTCTCCAAAGCTCCTTTGACGGCATCCCTCACATGAACATAAACATAAGAATGGCTATACTTGGGTCACACAAGTGGTCCATCTAGCTCAGTATCCTGTCTTCCAACAGTGGCCAATACCAGATGCTTCAGAGGGAACGAACAGAACAGGCAATCATCAAGTGATCCATCCCCTCTTGTCCACTCCCAGCTTTCAGCAAACAGAGGCTAGGAACATTCAGAGCATAGGGTTGCATCCCTGACCATCTTGGCTAATAGCCATTGATGGAGCTATCCTCCATGAAATTATCTAGTTCTTTTTTTGAATCCTGTTATAGTTTTGGCCTTCACACCATTCCCTGGCAATGAGTTCCAAAGGTTGACTGTGTATTATGTGAAGAAGTACTTCCTTTTGTTTGTTTTAAACCTGCTACCTATTAATTTCATTGGGTGACCCCTGATTCTTGTGTTACGTGAATGAGTAAATAACACTTCCTTATTCACTTTCTTCACACCAGTCAAGATTTTATTGACCTCTCTGTCATCTCTTTTCCAGGCTGAACAGTCCCAGTCTTTTTAATCTCTCCTCCTATAGAAGTTATTTCATACACCTAATCATTTTTGTTGTCCTTCTCTGCACCTTTTCCAATTCTACTATAGTATATCTTTTTTGAGATGGGGGTGACAAGAACTGCACGCAGTATTCAAGATTCTATGGTACATGGACTAGAACAAATACTGAAACTTTAATTTTTTTCCCTTAAACTACTTCACTAGAGCCAGAAAATGGACAGGTGGGAATGTCAGGTCATGCTCAGTGAGCCAGATTCAACCCTGATGTTAACTACAGAAGGAAAAAAACAAAACAAAAAAAACCCACACAGTTACAGAAAATATGAGATAAGTCTCTCGGGACTGAAGATTGGTGCACTTCAAGGACACACTGGGCCCAGCACTTCATTCATATCTGTGTAACTCATTGACTTTGATAGAATTATTCCTAAATTACAGAGTTAGTGAGAGGGGAGCCAGGCACAGAAATGGTTAATCAGAAAAAGAAGTTATTCTATATTTCACTTTGTTTTAATTTACCATAAACAGCTCTGCAATCTTTTTTCTTATAGTAACAGTTGCTATGCATAATACCTCAGAAGAACAAATTAATGACCCTCACAGATTTACACAACTCTACAGAGAAGGTCGCTTTGTTCCGCTCAATACTTGTGAAAACAGCAACCACCAGAATGCCCTTTAGAGAAAGCTCAGAGACTGGGGAGAATTTCTGCAGGAGAATGAAGGGAAGGTGTAATACCCAATTTTTTGGCCTTCTACTCAGAGGACCTTCTGCTGTGCTAGTTCTAGTGCTTGTGACAATAGGAATGACTTTGAAGTACAGGTAACCTGTCATATCAAACATGACCATGCTAATTTTTTTTTTATTCCCCACCCCAGAAAAACAGCATCCAAAAGGTATGTCACTGATGAGGTGCAGACGGATAAGATTCACCAACCAAAGTAGTAAAAAAAACCAACAGCCACATCTTTCAGAGCAATCTAGAGGCCAACCTGAATAGTTTATAAGATAAGGGCTGAAGTTTACCTCGCATTATGATTGGGCAAATTTAAAATGCCTCAATAAGCAGATTGCTGCATCAGTGACATAATTTGTCATATACTCTGAAATACAGCAAACAGCACAAGTGGCAGCAGAGTAAATTTTCATGCTTTAGAGAAAGATGAATGCCATGTACTTTGGAAAACGAAGGGATTATTTTTCCTGTAAACTTGGGAATAATGTTTTTGTTTTTGTAATTACTTTATGAGAAACAGAAGTAAAAGAAGTGAAACAACACTGTAAATGAAACAGGCAGCATGTGTGCACATGTATAAGGTGGATAACAATTATGTTAGTGAAAGGAATGCCATCTGGTTTAAGCACCTGACCTTGGGAATACTTTACACAGCAGTATGACGATAATGAAAGAACTGTGGTAACAGTTGGAATACAGAAGGGATGGAAACAGAGTTACCAAAAAAAAACTCCACAAAAAGTTGCAGCAAGGAAATCTATTATTTATATTTTGATAACACAATGCCTAGGAACTCCAATCATCATAAAAAGCCTGATGAAAAATCTTAAGTTTATGTGCAGTCATAGGTCTTAACACCTAGCTAATTTGGGGCATACCCATACTACACTATCAGTTTGTTAAAGTGTCCTGGAGTGTAAATATAGATAGATATTAGAAAAATCATATCTCAATACGCTGTATGGAGCAATGGTCGTCAAACAAAAAAGTGACAACTGTCTTAGCTAGCTAAATATTTGTAGTAAAATTCAGTATTTAAGGTGTTTCCTATAGTAATACTCTAGGTACTTTGGCAATCTTATTTACTTCAGGGGGTTCTCACTTTCTCCACCCAAGACCTTCAAAGCAGCCAAAGGACAGTGGATTGAGGTCATGGCAAGAATAGGTCTTGTGAAGGACAACAGCAGGGGAGTTTTTTTGGGTGGGTGGTGCTTGCGAAGGTGTTGTTGAGATGCTGGCTGGCAAATGGCAGGGGGTTCGTTTCAGCTATTCCTGTCTCTCCCTCCCCCCCCACCCCCATTCCTATGCTGTTCTCAGGGAAACACAGAGCACTGAACAGCTTTTAGAGGACCACCACCATCCACACACAAATAATGACACACACTCTCTTAATCCTGCTGCTGCGATAGGGACATTTCCTTTTAACACTAACCTCAGAAAACTTGTAGGTAAAGTTCAGAGGAAAATGGATCATGAGGAGGACTATAACGGGGGACTAAATGCAACTGGCACCCAAGCCATAGAAAATTCTCATGAGTGAAGTACATATGACTCTGTCTTCATTATTAGGTGCTCGTGTACCAAAAAGCATATCTTAGTGGTTCAAAAACAAAAGTAGGAATTAGGATTGGATTCTAGTCATGACAGCCACATACTTTATAGAGAATCATAGAATATCAGGGTTGGAAGGGACCTCAGGAGATCATCTAGTCCAACCCTCTGCTCAAAGCAGAACCAATCCCCAGACAGATTTTTGCCCCAGATCCCTAAATGGCCCCCTCAAGGTTTGAGCTCACAACCCTGGGTTTAGCAGGCTAATGCTCAAACCACTTGCTGTACTATTTTGGGAAAGTTGCTTTAACCTCTGTGTGTCAGTGTTTGTAAGGCACTTACCATAGCATCTTCCTTTCAAAGATGTCAGAAATAAAAGTTTGCAGTAAACAGCTCGAAGATTTGGAATGTTAATATTTTTGTTAGAGATGGATTAGTGGTCAGAACGCAGAAGAAAGAGCCTAGGTGCAAGGTAACAAGCTATTTATTAAGGAATTATTTTCCAGAAACCATAAGCACATGTGTGATATTAGAAGTGTGTGTATGTATGCATGTACTAAGTCTTCTAAAGTTAGTGTTAAAAGGAGATGTCCCTACTGCAGCAGAAGGATTAAGAGGGTGTGTGTCATTATCTGGTGTTCATTTCTGGTATGCCCTCTACATGCTTCAAAGCAATGAGGTCTTTGCCCAAAGAGCTAGATATCAATTACATTGTCCCTAAATATATTACCGAGACCTATGTCCTCACCTATAACCTATTAAAACCACAAATAAAAATGCAATTTCAACTACAGGAAATAAGAAACTCAGAACGATAGAAGATTCAAAAAGGTCAAACTGCAAAAATTAGAATTCTCTTACTATGATGTATTCGCACTAGATGGTGCTGTTCACATAGTTATACAACTTAACTCCGAAAACACTGTAATTGGATAGGTAAAGCTGAAAGGTCTTGCTTAATTTGTTTAATTTATTAACTAAATCCCTCTAAGGATAAATGGGTGACTTGGTAGAGAGATTATGAAATAAACTATGAGTACTTTACAAGGAGCATTAAAGCCTCATGTTAAAAAGGAGCCACATCATTTAAATTCCACATAGAAGTATGAAACCCATCTCTTGCACATATGAAGCAGCTGATATATTAAAAGTGATTTATAAATAAACTGGCACCATTGAAACAACATGCCTATGCTTATTTTAAATCTTGAAACTAAATAAAAAACTGATCTGAATTATAAGTTATAATGCATTATATACACCATAATTACTAGCTATCATATCTCTAGTGAATATAATCAATCACAATACAGAAAAATTTAAAACCACTCTTGCTTATTTATAGTGTCTACTCTGATAATGATATACTGAAACTCAAGTGCACTACAGATTAGTAAAACAATTTTCAATAACTTTTGTAAAACAGAAGCTAAGTGAAATATATCAAAAGCCAAAGGATGGAGTTTGTAATCTACATTGCCAGATATATTTCCATGTATATTACCTATGATAGGGAACTTCTTGGCTTTCACTTGTTTAAGAATAAGTCAGTGACACACAGCTTTATGAACTCCACTGTTAGAATACTTTTAGCGAAAATGTCCTTTTGTTTCCCAGTTGACCAGTAAACTATTATGTTTTTACTTAATGTCATTAAACACCTATTTGACTAAAAATTTGGGGGATTCCTGGATTGCAAAATTAAAGTTTACCTGTCCATGAATTGTCATTTGTAAATAACTTATTCCAATAATAAATTAAACGGAAGAACTATTTGGCTAGTAAGAACCAATTTTAGTTACCTTTGCAGCAAACTGAAGTCCAACTTTGTCAGCTTCAGCCTCCAATGTCCTGTTATATGGCCTATCAAATATAAACTGGAAGAGAAACATGTCAAAGCCTTGATCATAATTCTTGTTTTCACCAATTTATGAAGTCATTAACATTTTGTATTTTTTCTAACCTGCTCATAGGAAAAGCTGGATGGTGGTCATCATTATATTAATTACCTATATATGACACGTAAGCAGTTTTAATCCTTGTCTAGCATAGTATTTTCTTTCTATCAGAACTCAATCCATGTATAAAGCTGGGAAATTTACATATATGTTTCTCAAGGAAAAGGAGTAAATGCACTTCTAAAGCACCTTTCATCAGCTGATCTCAGAGCATTTTAAAAGCAGTTTAAGGGACACCATCAATTTAGCTAGTCAATTTTAGAAAGAGAAGTAAAGGCAGTTCAGGTACTAGCTAAGTATGTGATGCGCCCCCAACCACCCCATCAATTTTGTGGATTTACGATTACATTTGTCTGTTTAAAAAAGTGTTTTATCTCCCCTATGGCTGTGTGGAAGATCCACACAAACAGAGGAAACAAACTGATTATGCATAAGCAGGAGACAAACTTTTATCATATATTTGAGTTAATGTCATTTTAAGTTTTGCTTATAACCGTAGTAGGTAAAAATTTCAGGGAGAAATGGGATTTTTAAATTGTCTGTGTCTTTAAGCCTCGTATGACATACCTGAGGGTAAGTACATATGGTATAGTAAACAAGACAGTCCACAGTATCCGACACAACCATAAACCATAAGAGATCACTGCCCCTTCATGATTACACTCCCAACACAAGGAGTAAATGCTCCTTGAGAAATCCAAGAGATGAAGATATTAATCTGGCCTGCTCCCACTCCATTAACCCTAGTGATGTAAATGACGTTGCACAAAGACACTGTTTTGCCAGGAAAAGATCCAGTTATACAACCTCCAATCTTCTAGAATATGCATCTTCTGAAGATTCACATAGTCATGTGCTAGTAAAACAGGTTACAGTAAAGATTTACATGCCTTGTTGAAGCAGGTTGCTGTTCTGAGTGAACTTTGCTCCTGTTCTATAAGCATTATGACATCACTCTCTGGGCTGAGTATCAATTGGGAAATTCCAACTAGAGAGGGAGCATTACAAGTTTATTGCAGGGTTCTTTCAGCTCCTTCACTTGTTGAGTAAGAGCTGGAAAACATTTGGGATCAGAAAAGAAGTATTCTAGAACAGTAACTGCTACAATAGAATAGCATCAAGAAAGTGGGCCTGGCAACTTGTACACCAGGAGGAAACCTAGTCACTAGTTCTTTTATTGAAGCAGCATGGATAATCCTGTTTTATTCAGCAACTCTAGCTAAAATGAGCAAAGTAACTAAATTTTCCTGCATCTTTCCAGAGATGTAAACTGACAGGCATTTTTGGATTATTTTTAGGATGTCCGTATGTCTCCTACCCCACCTTACCCCCCAAAAAGCTTTACCATAATAGGATAAGGGTTAGATACATATATTGACTTGTTTGTGTGAAGGCTTCTCGGAAACATAATACAAGGCAACACAAGCTGATCCTCTCAGAGTAAATCAAAGCAAATTCCATGTTTTATAAGGAAGGAGAGAACAGTTCAATCCCAAAGCTGAAGCCTTTCTTACCAAGTCTAGATATTGTAATGACTTATAACACAGAAAACTTGAGGCAAATATGTATAGGGAACATTTACTTCCATTTCATTGAACAGTTTCCCCAGGTACAGAGAAGTGCACATAATCATTAAGAGAACAGGAGATTCTTCTAGGTGTGGTCTTTCATATCTTTCTGAATCACCATTAATAAAAGAGGGAGGATAATAAGCTAGATGGATCACCTATGTGTACCATGACACCCCCAGTTTCTATTTTGTGTCTGACGGATGGATAAAATGATCACTTGCAGCACTGACTTGAGTAAAGCTCTACAAACAGGCAGTTTTTCCATCTATTCATCATGGTCACTTGTTATTCTTTGTTTTGGTGATTTTACTGCAATTTTTAGTCCGGGACTTTTAGGTATCAAGGAGGTTATCTCGCAGCTCAAAAAAAGATATAAAAGTTTGAGAGATAGGTAATCTGATTATTCTTTACCCAAACAGGGGTGGGAGGGCTGAAAATTATCTTAATCACTTGCAGAAATTTTAATGAATTCTGGATGCTTGTTTTTCTAATGGCTGCTGTATAGAACAAAGGAGCTGCAAGGCAGTGGGCAATATAACACTACAAGGATCTGCACTAAAACTCTGTTATCCCCATAATGTTTCTGGATCTGTTGTCACCAAGCAATATGGTGTCCCCATTGGACCTAAAATACATCCCAGTACTGCCTTTCCAGTTATGGTTGTACTCTGAAGAATTCCTAAAAATGGCAAGAGGGTAATTCCATATTTATTGTGTTCCAATGATTATATCAAAGTTTGTTTAATTTACAGGAGATGCTTTCTTAAATACCAGCCCTGCAAAATTGGTGGAAGTTCTATATACTTGCTATCTATACTTAAGAGGAAGGATTGAGGCCACAGGGATAGAAAAATAGAATAAGCAAGCTTGTTAAGAAAGAGATATTTTCTTTTCTGCTTCTGCCTAATAAGCCTCGGCAGTAGCCACATGAAGCAGCTAGGTGGATGGGCCTCAAGGCATTTAATAGGCTGTGGGTATTCATCTGCCACTGACAAATAATTTTGGATTTATTTATTTTTTTTAAACTTATGGACATGTTGGAATGAAAGAAGATCTACCAACTCTTCCTTCAAAACTACCTGAAATAAATTAGACAAAGTGACTGATATGGATTTACAGACACTGACAATGGTTGTGTGTGTTAAAGAAGAGGAAGTCCCGTACACCTTAATCTCAACTCCTCAGTTAGCTCAGGAAATACAAACGATGTGTAGTGGGTTAGAGAGCAGAGAGGGGAGGGGAGAGAGAAAAAGAAGTGTTCTATTTGTGCATACTAATGTAGTCACGTGGGGTAAAGCCCAGATTACTGTAAAATTTTCTGCTCTTTGGTGAGCAATTCCTTAAATTAAAGTCAATTAGAAAAACTTCTGGTATAAAAGCAAACAAAATCTGTGCTCATTTGCTGTATAGAGAAGACAGAGGGAACAAAATAACCTGGAAGAATGAATGGAACTTGTTTACAGTGCTAGGTACTTAGACTGTAAGCTTTGTGGTAGAGATGTTCTTTTGTTCGGTTTGTACAACTAGCAGAATGGGGTCCTGGTCCATAAGCTGGGCTCCTAGGCGCTACGAGAATACAATATTTATAGTAAGGAGGAGCTGGTGTTCCTGGGGAGGTACGCAAGAGGAAGAACTCATAATGCAGCTTAAACTGGTCAGGCAAGGTGGCTAAAATAACTCGCACAAGGGGGGTGGGGGGAGGGGGAAGGGAATATTGCCATGGACAACAAGGGTGGGCCAGGTTGCTATTATCTAGAACAACATAAGGCGGCAGACAGAGAAAAGCAGAGAGATGCACACCTGAGGGTGGGTGGGGGGAAAAAACTGCTCTGGTAAGTATGACAGCTAGACACTGAGCGGGAGCAGGAGGATTTTGCAAGGACATAGCTGAAACCAGGATGAAAGATTGTGCTTTTAACAAAACTTCCCTTTAACGAAAGCCTCTCTCCCTACTCAACTAATTTTGAAGTAGCCTTAGACTGTGGAATAAAGTTTTGCAATTTGCTTTTCTCAGTTGTCTCTCTCCATATTCCATGTTGAATAAATTTTATTTTACTTAAGCCAAGAGTCAGAATTTGAAACTATTTGGTGTTATTGCTAGGGTAAGAGGTACTTCAGTGGTAAGGGATAAGAACAGTTTTGCAGTGCAAGCATAAAAAAATTAATAAACCTAATTTACGTTCTTGGTCAAAGGCACAATTCAGTCCCACAAGGTCATGTCACTATACCAGTTGCAGTCACCCCAAAACGTGAGAAAAGTCTTGAGTAAGAAGCGAGTTTGAGAGGTTGACAGGGAGCTGGGTCTCAGAGACCAAACAATGGGCTTTTGTCAGAGCTCAGTCACAATAACTCAACATTTCTCAAACTTTGATCTTTAGATCATTTGCTGGCATTCAGTGCTGGCTTTTCAGGTGCTTCTACAAACATCCAGCCTCTGTTATAATAATTTATGTTCAAAGTCTATAGCTCCCAGACTGATAGGTAGATATCATAGCACAGACTGGTTATATTTGTTTTTATGTTTTGAAGAACCATTAGGTAACAGGAAAAGAATCACAGGCAATATAAGAGTCTTTATTCCAAGGCTGATAAAAATGTTAGGACATATGCAAAATTCCCCCAAAAACGCTTTACATAAGAAGTAGTTGAATAACTGGGCAGACGCACACAATAAATTATTTATCAGGAGGAATGTGGCACTACACAAACTCCAAGTTTTATTTTATTGATATTTATCTTGGAGGGACTACATACATTTCACTGGGTTATTTGTAGTGTGCTAATGGCTTTAAAACGGGACTTAGATCCTGAATTTTGTTAAATTAGAAGCCTGTTTCCCACCAATAATAAACATCCATAAACACATTCATTCCACATAATTCTGACAAACTTTCTGTCAAATGCAGAAAAATAGTACCTCAAACGTCAATTGTTTTGAAAAGGCGAACAAAGATTAAATGGGATATTGAACATCCCAGAGGTTCTAATTCACAAGTGCTAATATGCTGTACATTAGTTCTGTAGGCTGACCCTCTGCTACACAATTTGGAATTGGGCTCTTCCCAAGCTAAAAATAGTAAATTCTTTACTAAATATTTGAAATATTACATGACAAGGGTCAAGTCACAATACAGCATCAGATGAAGTAGAAATACTAGAAATTATTTATAAAAATACAGCTCTCTCAAAAAACCCAAATACTTATTATACAATTATAACTCTTTGCTCTCCCCTCTTACACACAGAGTTGGGTGGCACAGTGATCCTCCAGTACTACAAATGGAATGTTTTCCAAATGACTAAGAAATGACAACTTACCTGAATAATAGTAGAAAGTATATTTAGCTGCATTTATAGCAAAAGTGTCACAGTGTGTTACATACTGAACCAGTGTTAAATAAATGAAGCAAGTACAACAATGCCACAGCCTCTGCCTTACCTCCTGCAACTTACTCTGGATCAACTGGCCTACAATTGCCAAACTATCTCGAGGACAGACTGCCCAAATCATAGTGAGCAAGATAAGCGACAGGAAATCCAAGAAATGTACCAGACTGGCTTTCTCTGCCTGAAAACAAAAACAGCGAAGTTTTCAATCATTTACCCTTGGATCTTGCTTGCATGCATTATTTCTGAATTTGACACAGATAATTATATATGTACCTAAGATAGAAAATGCCATCACAAGGTGGGATAACCCTTTAAGAAAAGTGGACTTAGCCCCAACTGCGAATAATTCTCTGTCTCCTAGGTGAGGGGTTTTAGGTCAGGTATCAGGTGATAGCCTGCAGACAACCGGGTCCTCAAATAAAAGATCAACAAGGAACACAGAGGGAGAGACTTGCTCAGAGCACATAGGAGCACTGCAGGAGACCCAGTAACAGGAAAAAAGACTGAGAAACAGGCTCTCCAGACCAGCCTAGCTGAAGTTAGAAAGTGTGTGGGCAGAGACAGAATCCTTATGTGGAAGAGGCTTTAGAAGGAGCCAGGCAGGCAGACTTGGCTTTTCTGTTTTGATTTGTGTTGGACTACTTTGACAACACACCCCTGAAAAAATGGACTGAAATTCTTCTGCTGTCGGGAGCTTTACTTGACATACTGGCCAGTAAGTGGTCCACCTGCTTACAGGCCCTGATCATTGTAATATGAGCATTTCTCAATCTAACATATTTATCCACACAATACCTCTGTGAAGTAGGGAAGTAATATCTCTGTTTTACAAATGAGGACTGAGACACAGAGTGACTAAGTGACTTGCTTAAGTTCACACAAAGAATCTGTAGCAGAGAAGGGACTTGAATTCAGATCTTCCAAGATGCAGGCTAGTGCCCTAACCGCTAAGACCATCTTCCTCCCAAATTCCATCAATCTTACCAATTTTAACCTTGAATTCAATTCTGTTACAATGTAAAGCTATTCCAATAGAGCTGTTTCTCTCTCTCAAAAACTGCAGCCCTCATTTCTCTGTTCTCCTTTTCATAGGTGCAACACTATCAAAAAGGGATAATTCAGCATAACTTCTCCCTCCCAAGTAATAGCCGCAAGGGAATACTGCTGACCCTTGTAACATTTGTTCCCCAAATGCACCAATAACAATTGTGTAGCAACTTTCCACTAAATGATTTATAAACTTGTAAAACTACTATTTTTCAGGTGAATTAACCCCCTTTTTTTGTATGTGATCATATGCAAATCTGTTGTGTGGGTCACAATTTTTTTTTTCTTTGCTTAGTGAACAGTTTGTGCGAGGTTTAGCACATGGTCGCTCTGTGAACCACTGACTATTGATTATTCACTCCAGGAAACTGGTTACCTAAGTCACATGGTATCTCAGGTCCTGATTGGATGACTGAGGCTTTATAACAACAGGAGAAGTTCCCTTTTTTCCTACATAAAATTAGCCATGAATATTTTTAACTGTTCAAATAACCACAAGCACTTCTGGCATGAATCTTCTTGTTCACCGAAATGTTTGCAGGTGCCAGTGAAACAAATCAGCTGGTTTGTTTGCAAATGCTTTTGAGAGCTATTTACCTAGCTCTAGAATAACCTAGAATGGGGAGTTTTATGTTGAAAGTTAATGGGTTTTTAGACTGGATGGGAAAGTACAGATATAAGAGCTGCAGAGGTTGCATTTAAAGAAAGCAATAATTTGGGGTACAGATGTAGCTACATCTTATAATGACCTGATTTATCCACACTGCTGCTTGTCTAAACAGAAAACATATCTTCATCTAGAACAACTTGGGCCAAGATTTTATTCCCAACCTGTTTTCTCAAAGCTGAAAGACTATTATACCCGTTTTGTGCATGAAAACTGGTGATGAACTACCAGTTCATCCATGAACACATTAAGGCTTGGGATATGCGCAAGATGGTACATGCTCACATTTGCAAGCACACTCAGTTATCTGCAAACAGAGTCAGACTTTAGGCCCCGTGAAGACTTATCCAACAACCCTAAAAACTAAGGAATTTTAAGGGCTTTGCTACTGAACTGCAAGTACCGTGTAATTTAGAAGACATTTTAAATACATCTATGGATTCAACATGTTTAGAAGGACTAAGGGCCCAATTTTGTCAAGTGCTGAGCACCTACAACTCCCAAAGCCTCCATCTCTCAGGGTCAAATCCTAACTGCTATTTTGTAATGGAAAGGAAGCCTCTCTTAGGGACTGATCCTGCCAACAGTCTCTAGCAGGTATAGCTCCAACATTGATTAAAACAGCACAGCAATATGTGCAGGATCAGGACAGTCAACCTTTAAACCAAATTCTTTATTCAGTTTGAGGAAGCAGCCTGAGACTTTGGTTTATATATTAACTTTTTTTTTTTTTTAAAGGGTACTTACTGCATGTCCCAATACAGCATGAGCTATTTCATGTCCCAAAATGAAATAGAGCTGGTGAATATCTGACACCACATTTAGCAAACCAGTGAAAACAAATACTTGTCCATTCTGTGAACAAAAAGAAAAAACACATATCATAAGATAGCATAGGAACTGTGTAAACAAGTTGCATTCTTCAATATTGCTTACTTTTGCTTTTGGATTTTACTTACTGGAAGTACAAAAGCATTTATGCCTGGTTCTTCCACCACATGGATAGCCCACTTGAACTCCGAGACCTGCGGGATGTCCTGGTTGCTTTCAGATAAATGACCAATAACTTTTTTCACTACCTGATAGCGAGGGTCTGTCTCGGCTAACATCTGATTTTTAAACTGTTCCATCCACTGAAAGAGACAAATTGTTGATGTCTATACAGAATAAATAATGCAGTCTGGAGGCTAGCTGTTACACTTATATGCCATATCAGTGTACCACAGTAAAAGTTTTGTTCCAGACAATGTATTTACAATCCAGTTCTCATATGCTCTTTTCTCTTATATACCTACTCAATCATCCACGGAAAGCAGTAGAGCTCCGTTTTTCACAACTCTGTGCTAATTGTTTTGTACTAGATGTAATAAAATTGAACATTTATATATGCTGCGAAGTAATTTACACCAAATGATTGGATATTAATTAGGCTATATTAGTACAAAAAATCATTGGCCAATGTGAAGAGAGAGCAGAAGGAAGCTGGCTGCAGGACACGGACACTGCCTCACGGACAATTCAGAGAAGCTGTATGCAAGAGTAGGATCATGCATGCCCTAGAGCAGTGGTTCTCAACCAGGGGTCCGGGGCCCCCTGGGGGACCGCAAGCAGGTTTCAGGGCGCCACCAAGCTGGCCAGTATTAGACTCGCTAGGGCCCAGGGCAGAAAGCCGAAGCCGCACTGCATGGGGCTGAAGCCCAGGGCCCTGAGCCCTGCCATCTGGGGCCGAAGCCTGATCAATATAGCTTCGCGGAGGCCCCTGGGGCATGGGGCCATGGGCAATTCCCCAGCTTGCTACCCCCTAATGCCGGCCCTGGCTGTTATATGCGGAAAAAGAGTTGTTGTGACAGGGGTAGTCCATGGAGTTTTTATAGCATGTTGGGGGTGGGGGGCCTCAGAAAAAAGAAGGTTGAGAACCCCTGCCCTAGAGTACTCTGACCAAATCCCCCAAAAGGCTCAAGAGTGGTGAGGAAACTTAGGCAGGGAACAGCACATAGGCATTTTATTTTATTATTACTTAGATTTTTCTCTCTCGTGTGCTATGTTAGAAATCGTTGTAAAGACTGTTTGATATGTTTAAACTATCATGTGATCCTGGAAAAGTAAACTATAAATCAAAGCGCCCAGAAGGTTGAAACTTTGGGAAAGGGTGTGTTTAAACTAGAGGGTGTCTTGGGGGATCTGCACTGACCTGGGGGCTTAGGACAGCCAAAGAATGAGGTCCCACTTCCATGAAGAGGTAACAGACCAAGTCTGTGCCCAGGAAATGTGCCAGTGTAGCTAAAGAAAGAGACAGTGCTGGATCCTACCCAGACAAAGGGAAGTTTAAGAGCAGATGGGCCCAATATGTCAGTACCCAAACAGAAGGCTACTGAGTGGCCAGAAGGGGGAGCCCGACCAGGGTTGTGACACACATCAATGAGCAGAAACATGATTTTTTTTGTGTGTGAAATGAGGAGGGCTTGTTTTCTTTCGGACAACTCACCATATCATACTCCATCTGTGACAATATCCTAAAATGTTCCTTCCCAAATACCAACAGTCGAGCACGCCCAGTGATTGGTGTTTCCTCCAAGTGAGTAAAATAAAATATAATAAATAAAACCGCCAAGCTACACAGACCCACAACTATCTTCCATTTGTTTTTTCTCGCACTTTCTTTAAAAAGTTCCCGCTTGTTAGGAGGCAGTGCCCTCCACCATTTTCTGATGCTCCTGCAAGACACAAACATTGTACATTGTAAAGTGGGTATAGTGCCTCACACAAGTGAGAAGGGGCTGTATACATTAACATTTGTAAAGTGCTAGGATATCCTTGGATGAAAGAGTCAAGAGAATCATTAAGTAGTATGTATTCTGCCAGTTCAGCACAATATTTTCTTCAAGGAACAGGAATGTCTCACAAGGTAGATGCTTCCTTTTTTAATAGGAACCATTCCAACCTTTATCTTTTTGATCTGGTTAAAAATAGCATGTTGGGATTTTTTTTGTTTGAGAACATCTGAATGAAGGATTTTTCACCCTGCTACTCCTTGAATGGATTTGCAAGACACAATCAGCAAGGGCTGATCAAAAATAAGTAGATACAAAAGGATGCACATATTGAATCTTATTACGCATACAGGAGAGAATGAATTTCTATTTCTATGCAGGAGCTGCACAATCAGAATCCAACTTAATCCATGTGGTACATTTGTAAATTCAGCTTAGGCTGCAGCCAGGGAATCTGAGCACCCCCACTTTACCTCCAGCCTGAAGTCAACATGTCAGAATTGTGTCAGCAACAGTAGCTACTCTCACAATCAATAGTGATTGATTGTAACGGTCTGAAACAGGTGCATTTTCTAAAACAAAACCACAGGAGAGAGGTCCTCCCAGTTTATAACCATTTTAGTCTGATTAGTATATGGACCCTGTTGCGGTTTGAAAATTGTGATAAAACAATAAAAACAAAGAAAAATTCCAACCCTAACCCCAAATCCTGCAAAGCTTTACAAAACAAACGTTCAATTTTACACACACTGAGTAGTCCCATTAACATTAATGAGATTACTCACTGTGCGTAACATTACACACATACGTAAGTCTTTGAAGGATAGGGTCTTACTCTGTAAGAGAAAATAAAACAGCATTTTACCTTCCAAGAATGATAGCAAATAACTTCTGAGCCGGTTTAAGAATAATCCACAATAGAGGCACTGGAGCAGCCTGAAATGATGATGATGTGTGAAAAAGCCTGATGATCTGAACATCCCAAGCAGGAATGCGATCTGGGGACTGCACTGGAGCAAGACTTCGGAATAATGCAAACTCTTCCACTAACGGCTGAGAGGCCAGGAAACAAGGACTTCTACGGCTACTGTGTATGTTTGTGCACACTTTTATATTCTTGGCATTCAAAAAACATCTTTGGCTTTTATTAATAAATTTTCTGTAGAAGTTAGAGCTTCCAATCATAAAATAATAGCTGGTGTTGCTGCTTGTATTTAGTCGCTGGCATTTATCCACTATATGATTTATTTGAATCTGGCGATGTCCATTCAAAGCTTCAACTGAAGACTTATAAAGATTATTGCACTTTGCCTGACTGGCCAAAGAAGTTAAGCGAAATAAAATGCAGTTCCTACCAGCTATCTTTAAGCTGCAAATGGCATTCATTTCTCTTTTGTTTATTCACCCTGAAACAAAAGAGGCATTATTGTAGAGATCTGAACAATATAACAAGTAAAGCAATTCCTGAGTTATGAATTCACTTTAGCTGAACAGAAATATCCTACTTCTTGTTTGCCAACAGTCTCAGAATTACAACTGTCTTCTATTATGTACTTATTATAACACTGTTTTAAACTGCACAAAAAGATATTAAACTTTGCAACTGAAAGTGTAGGAAAGAGATTCCTCGTGGTCTCTTTTTCTTAAAGACAAGACATTAAAATGATTGTTTCAAAGGATACCTGCTTGCTGGTGTCCTTTATTCAGAAGGTGTAAAAAACTGGTAACAATATGGCTATGTGGATTTTGCTCTTTATTTTAAATATTTGTATCCTTTACTGTCAGGAGGAGGAATACTTTTATCATCTAATTTTGAATTTATAAAATGCACCTATCATGCTTTTTAGGTGCATGTACTTTCGTGCACAAAACAAAGTTGATGTAATATCAACTGCCAGATACAGAACCTCCCTCAAAGACGTTAATTGCCACTAAACCACCTCTCCACAAGGAAAAACCTTACTGAACAATTAAGCTGTTTGTATATCAATAATCTGGGTGTTATCAGACCTGGTAGAGAAGCCAGGGCTCTTCACTGTTCATTCAAAAAGACGGCAAAAGATCCAATATACTTCATAGACTACTAACTTTTTACACTTCAGTCAAGGAGGCAACTATCACTTCCTCTGTACGTTACCCTTCTGCAAGCTATCCTAATTAACACGGTTCATAACTACAGCTCCATTTGATGTGGACCTTAAAAAGGAAGTTTTCTGCAGTCGTGCAGTCAAAGTGCAAGAATGAGCAAAGACTTCAAAACTACTGAAAACCTGAATCTGCAACATTATAAAGGACGTTTATTTTGCACAAGAAAGGAGCCTGTCCCATCAAGCTTCATTGTTCATATTAAAGCAGTGTAGCACCTAGACACTAGGGCAATAGGCATTTTAGGAATCCTTAGGAGATTCACTTATAAATAGATACTTTGACAAGGCCACCTGACTCTAGGGTGACCAGATGTCCCGATTTTATAGGAACAGACCTGATTTTTGGAGCTTTTTCTTACATAGGGACCTATTAGCCCCCACCCCATCCCGATTTTTCACACTTGCTATCTGGTCACCCTACACCTGAGTAACATAGTACTAGGCTTGGGAGGATTTGATTTTTCCATCAGTAAATGTTGATTTCACCAGACACACATGAACCAACCAAAAACATATTTCCATTGATTAAACACACACACACACACAAACAAATTTACAGAGAAGCAACGTAAGACAACTGCTGCTTGAGAACTTAGTAGCGTTTGATTGACGGCTCTTTACTTTGTTCGTGTGACAAGCCACGGGGACAGTTTGTGTTTCAAAGCGTTCCCTTTTTTGAATCCCAACTGCCACTGCCATGACATAATTCTCGCCTCACACCCCCGCGCCCCAGGAAAATGTAACCGCCCAAATAAAACGCTGACAGAGACACGTCATCCGCCAGTGATGCAGCCTGGAGCCCGGCCTGGCCGGCAGCCCGGCGCAGACACAGGCTCGGATCCCCACCAGGCGCGGGGGCCCCCACCCCAAGGCCCAGCCCCGCGGACACGTCACGGTCTGGCCGGGACGGAGCGGCGGGCACAGGCCGGAGGGTGGAGATCCGGCCCCGCTCCCCGCTGAGGGGGCGGCTCGCTCGGGCCCGGCTGGGCGCCGCAGCCGGGGGCAGCGGAGGAGCGCCCCGTACTCACCGCCTCAGGAAGTGGAGCTGGGGCCTTCGTGGAGACCCCGCCCCACATCCCCCTGGCTCCGCCTTCGACTGGGAAGGCGCCACTACAACGAAGCCGGCTGCTCGCGTAGCCCCGCCTTATCGGCTGTCGTTTTGCTGTTAGCCCCGCCCACTCCGCTGTAGCCCCGCCCCTGGCCTGAAAGCTCCGCCCCACCCCTTGTTCCTCCTGGGGGAGGTTCCATTCGTGTGTCTGCCCCCCCCCATTTTCTACCTAGGTCAAGCGATTCAGAGGGACCCCCCCTCCCCTACAGTCGGGGAGCACCTGCTGCCCTGCCCCCACTGTATTGGAGGGAGGGGCTGGGCAAAGGGAGGGCACACCAGGGGAGTCCAGAGCAGAGAGCTGTGATACCCTCCAACCCCACACCTCCTTCCCTGCAGCCAGGCTCTGTGTCTGCCTGGGCCGTGCACCTGCTCATCCCCAGGGCTGCCATCCACTGGGCCTCCTCATCTCCCTCATTGCAACTCCAGGGGGGGCCTGTGCACTCTGCCCCCGGGCCTAGCCCCTCACCCCCACACCTGGCTACTGCACCCCCAGGCTCTCCCCTGGTGCCTCCTTCATCGTCACTCTCCCTGACTGCACACACACACACCCCCAACGCCCCAAGCAGAGGGATTTGGTGAGCCGGGGAGGGTTTATGGGGAGGGTTGCCAGTTTTGGTTGGACATATTCCTAGAGGTTTCTTCACATGACATAATCTTTAATTAAAGATTAATCTTTAATTCCTGGAGACTCCAGGCCAATCATAGAGGGTTGGCAACCCTATTTGTGGGGGAAGGGGATGGAGGAGAGGAGGGACATGGTGGATGGGAGGGGTCTCATGGGAGCAGGGGGATGAAGGAGAGGAGGGATGTGGCGGGAGAGGGTGGAAGAAGGATGTGGTGGGGGTGTCTCACAGGGGATGGTGGTTAGGAGGGATGCGGCAGATGGGGGTCTCGCAGGGGAGGGGTGTGGAGGAGAGGAGGGATGCGGAGCAGGGGGGGCCTCATGGGGGAGGGGGATTGTGGCAAGAGGGAGGGTGGAGTGGAGGAGAGGAGGGACTCCCCAGGCAGTCGCGGACAGTGGGGACCTTGGGGAAGGGGCAGAGCAGGGACAGGAAGAGGTGGAGCGCAGGCGGGGCCACCACAGCCAAGCATCTCGTGGCAGGTCGGCAGAGGCTGCACGGGGGAGGCTTAGCCTCTCCTGGACTATTATACACGCCGCCCATGCCCAAAGTGCAGTTTCCTGCCACCTAGGAAGCACGTTTTAACATGTAGATACCAACAACACCCAAACCTCCTCTGCCTAAGGAACTGGGGATGTGACCTGAAAGGCAGGTCCTGCAGGTGCCTTGCCATCTAAATGGGTGCAAGTGGAAGGTATGTCATAATGACAGGGTCAGTGCCTACTGCATGGCAGCTCATGTGGACAGACATGAGGCCTTTGTGTGGAAACAAAGGGCTTGTCCCTGGGAAAGGTGTGAAAGCCCTGCTCTTGGTCCCACTACCTCCCTGACAGAGCTGCAAGTACTTTGCAATCACCCTGCTCACTACATGCCATAAATTTCATTTTAGGATGTTTTTTTTTCTTCAAGCATCTACTGAGACTTTTTTGATTCCCTGAGCTGCCCCCTCATCCCTGACCCTCCCCTCTTCACTACCAACCTCAAGGCCATGTTGCTGTGACAATTCTCCCTCCCAGCAAGACCAGAAGCATGTAGCTTCTGGGGGGTTGCTGTAGTCAGCAGTCTCCTCATGTCTGTCCAGGCCAGGACTTCCTGTAGTGACACTAGTCAGCCTGGTTGCTAGAAAGCCAGGAAGAATGAAATGGTCTTCTCTGTGTCCAACAGATTCAATAAAGAATTTCCTTTATAATCAATACTATCAAATTCTGTCTACTCTACCACAGGGGACACAAGGGTATGAAATTGCCACTCATCAGGCAGGGCTTGGTTGTTGGGCTGTTTTGTTTTGTTTTTTGTTTTTTGATTGTCAGCTCCATTCCTGAAACCAACCTGGGGAATTGTTGCCGATTGACACAAGTCTTTACCTGCACCCAAAGGCTGAGCATGCCCCAGTTAGTCAAGGAGCAAAAAAACTGAGCCTCAAACTTGCATATCAGTGTGCAATATCTTCTGGAACTATTTATCTGCTTTATATTTCCTAGACTCATTCTATTTCCCTGCCTTTCTTGCTCTCCTCATCTAGCTCAGGCCTCCTCTCTGTCCCGCAACACACATAAAAGAGTTTTTTACTTTACATCACCTAGCCTCTCAAACAAATTTTCTCCATCTTTTCATGTCACTGACTTTCCACCTTATTTCAAATCTCAACTGATATCATATATTTTCTCCTTTCCATATTTCTTACCCTCTCCTCTGCTATTTGTCTCTCTGACTGTATCATTGAACTGTGTCTGGCATATGGGGTGTAGGAATGGCACAAATAAGGGTCTGATCCTGCATGTTTGGCTCATCTAAAGCTGTTAAAGTAGGTGTTTGGAGTGTACAAAAAATACTAGATTGGGCCTTAAAGTCCTATTATGCTCTCTGCGTTTCTAAAAATGTCCATGAATGGCATTCCTACTCATTAAAATTCCAAAGCAGACAAGCAGCGAATATAGCACAGATAATTACAGGATATCTCTATCATATACCAATACTAAATGTCTCCTTATGTGAAAATCTGGCATATATAGTTGCACAATTGGATATGTATTAAGTGCTGGTTTTCTCTAAATAGACAGCTAGATCAACAGCCATTATAGTCATTTATACAGTAGTTGCTCTTGAATTTTAATGAACATACATGCAACTTTTATCTGAGGACCTCAAAGAGTTTTAAAAGGTTGGGTAAATATTATCCCCATTTTACAGGTGGAGGAACTGAGGTTAAGACCCAAATTCTGGCCCCAGCACGTACAATTCACCCCTGTGAAGAAGGACAGCATGAAGGCTACGCACCAGATGACTCCCAATTAAGCCCTGTTTTTTTGTAATAACTGGCATATAGGCTTTATGCTGGCTCTCTGCACAGGAGTGAAATTCACCTAGCCTAGGAAGCTGGGTTGTATGTCAGGAGTGCCCCAGCTCATGGAGCTGCTCCCCATCTGTTGTTTTTTCAGGGATGGAATCTTTTCTGAAGCACCTATTATCCCTGTACATGGTGGAGTGGAAATTCCCAACCGATCCTCATAAAAAGCAGTTCCCATA